TTTGGCGAAGATAATACAAAAGGTAAAGATGAAATAAAATAAGAATATTCTAGAAATGGTAAATGTGCAATATGTGCAATATGTACCATATGTGCCGAAGGTGCAATAACAGATCTGTAATACAAGACTATTCTAGAATGGACAATATTACAAGGGTAAATGCTATTAAAATTGAACAAGGGATAGTGAAGATCATTAAGCGAAAATCAAGTATAACACTATATATAGAATTCATTATGAAGAACAAGTTTACTTAATATATAAAAGTTATTTTTATTAGTAAAATAAAAAGTTTAATATATGTCAATTATTTTCGTTTAATTATAATAATTCTTCATTTATTGGGGGGACTGTAAGTTATTCATAAACTATTTTTAATATAATATCACCTATTTGATACAATATTGTTTTAAAAGTTTTATATATGATAGGTTAGTATTAACTTAAATGGATATTTAATATAATGGTTATAAATTCTTATTTAATAAAAGTCTTATATTTTATACTTATTTGCAATAAAAAAAAAAAGAAAAAGAAAAATCTTATCAAGTCAATTAAAAAAAAACAATTTATTTTAAACATTATTATTTATAAATTTTTATATATAATATATATTAAAATTATATATATCATAATAAATTTTTAAAATATCAATAAAAATTTTTTGATTAAATTGATTTTTACTAATAAACTTTTTAAAAATCTATACAGTAATTTGTTACTACGTGACGATCACACGTTCACTATCACGATCACAATCACGTGATTAGTACGTAAAAATAAAATTCGCAAATTTCACTCCACATACGCCAGGTTTTATTACTCGAAAATGGATGACACCTAAGCGGAGTTCTAAACTGAAACATTTTTTTACTTTAAAACACGAGCGCGCCAACCATATTTAGAACATTAGTAATTTATACGTAATGTTATCTGGTACCGCAGAAATCATGGTATTTAAAATTTAAATAATACAATTTTATAATATATATTTTTTAATGAGTTTTCATATCTTTTGCGTCGTTTTAGGTGATGCCATTAAGAATTCTTTCCCGGTTGATGTTCGTAAAGACATGACCGTTGGGCACCTCAAAAAATTGATCAAGGAGAAGAAAGAACCCCATTTTAACCATATCTCCGCAAACAAACTGATTTTATGGAGTGTTAATATTCCTACTGAAGGTGAAGATCTGAAAACCAAAATATACGCCGAAAATATCAAAGAAAAATATCAAGGTATAATGTTATATCCATTCAAAACTGTTGGAGAATATTTTCACGAATCCACTAGAAACATCCGTATAATTG